AAAAAGAAAAAAAGAAAACAAAACGGAAAAGAAAAGCACCAAAAAAAAAAAAAAAAAAGAAACGTTTCACATAAATAACATATATCAAATATATAATTATATAAAATAAAAAAACCACGATATATATATATATATAAAACCCTTTTCTATCTCTATCTATCTATCTCTATTCTTTATTCTTCTATCTATATATCTACCTTCCTTTATATCTATTTCTCTCTCTATCTATCTCTCTCTTTCTCTCTCTCTCTCTCTCTCTCTCTCTCTACCTCTATCTCTATCTCTATCTCTATTTCTCTCTTTCTGATACGAGAGGAGAGATCGAGCAAAGTTTTACTCGGCGAGAATTTCTCGACGCGGTCGTGTCGTGTCGTGAGAAGGACTGAATGGGTTTGCCAGACGCGAAACGTAATCGCGTTTACGGGCACGCCAGCTGTGGTCTATAGGTACTACACCTCTCTTCGTTTCCTTTCCATTCCTTTCCTTTCAACAAGGAGACGGTAAAACGAGTGGGGTATGGAAAGACTGCCCTCCCTCTGTCCCCTTTATCACCCCTCCTCACAAACTATACTACCACGTGCCATGGCGTAGCATACTAGCTGCTTCGCGGGAGCACCCACGCGACACCCGGTATACGTGGGTAGTAAAAGCCTCTGCATGGCATTGAGAGATAGAAGGAATCGAGTCTTTATTCATCTTCATTTTCATCATCATCATCATCATCATCATCATCATCATCATCTTCTCTCTCTCTCTCTCTCTCTCTCTCTCATTCTCTGTATCTATCTCTATAAGATGCATTTCGTTATTATTATTTCATAGAATTCGTCATCTCTTACGACGATTATCTTACGTTTTTCCTTTATTTGGACTTTATCGATTTTTTTTTTTTTTTTCATTTTTTAACTTTTTAACTTGTTACTTTTAATATCGTTATTTTAATAATCATTAATTGATTAATATATGATATAATATTGTATATTGATAGAGATATGAAATATGTTTTTTTTTTCAGAGAGTAGAAGAATTTGATTTTTATAGGATTTATTGTAGGGAATTTTTTTTCTCTTTTTTTTAGAGGTGATAATAATAATAATACATTATGTATTTGTAGATATGATATTATTCTTATATTATGTGTTTATATATTATTTATAATAGTTATTATTTATTATATATATATATGTAACTATACTTGTATATATATATATATATATATATATATATGTATTGACTATGTGTATATATTATTTCTTATATATGATTTTTATAGATATTATTTATTACGAGAAAATAGAAATATTTTTCTTTTGTTTTTTTTATTTCTCTTTTTATTTTTCGTTTTTTAATGTTTTCATATAGCCGATATAAGAAGAAAATTATTTCGTAGGAATGACTATCGAAAAGAAAAAGAAAAAAAGAAAAATTAAATTAACTATATTAAGAAGAAAAAAAAAAATATTTCTTATTTCATTGTAAAAGTTAATTTTAATTTGAGCCGAGTTGAACCTTTCGGATTTTCTATGTAAACTTTATTCTGTTAAACTCTTAGAGGATCTTTCGCTTAACAAGAATACAACAGTATTTTGAGACTCGAGAGGGAAATAAATATTTGGAGAAAGAGTGAAGTCAAAGGAGAAGAAGAAAGAAGTAGAAAAAGAAAAAGGGTATAATAGATACGGTGAGAGAAGAGTACGCCCACGAATCGTCAAATCTCAACGAGCACGAATATTTTGAGATAAGATGAGACTCATCGTAACGCAAAATGGACGTCTCCACGACGTTTAATATTTTTCCTTTTTGATTACGAAAGAAACGGACTTTCTTCAAACAATTGAAAAATTTGTATGTGCCATTGTATACACGATATATATATATATATATATATATATATATATATATATATATACGTATATTAAATTGACCAATAAGAAATATCAAAATTTTCATTATATTTATAATATTTAAATAAATAATATATTTCTTATATATAATATATATCATTCATATATGATAATATAATAATATAATAATATAATAATATAATATTGTAGTATTGGATTGGCCCGAAAAATAAATAATTTTTTAATTATCAATAAAAAGAAAAAAAAATATATATATATATTTCTTATATTTATGTATATTATTTTATTTATTTAAATATAAAACATTAAATAATTCGTCAAATTAATGGTTATAGATCAACATCATTTTATTCTCATCATATTGATATTCTTTATTGAAATATTATATTATAATTTCAATTACATATAAATAATTAAAAATTTCGACATTTCTTATTGGGGCAATTCCCAATACATATATATATATATATATATATATTTCTTTTTTTTATTAACTCCTTTTGTTTTCGTCATCACGTCTATCCAATATCTTTGTTAAGATCATCATCGACAATCATCAATTTTTATATTCGTTTGTGAAAAATTCAATGAGCCGTATCATTCTAACTATTGTTTTTTTTCACTTTCTAATTCTCATGACATTATTACAGCTTAGCATTGTTTCTACATATCCAAGATAATTATTGTTGAACGTTTATGGACAAAATTTGTACTCGTTTCTAACACCAATCATATAACAGTAGCTCCACGACAACATATATATATATATATATATATATATATATATATATATATATATATGTACATATATTATATATGGAGATCGTTTATTTGAAATTGTTGCCGTTTAAATATAATTATTATTCCAAGAAGATATGAGGAAGTACTTGAGGTTAGTTGAGATAGAATAGAAAAAACACACAAAAAAAAAAAAAAAAAAAAAAAGAAAAAATAAAAAGACAAAAGAAAGAAAAATAACAAAAATAATAATCAAGAAAGTTATAATGAGTAAGAAAGAAGAAAAAAAGAAGGAAAGAGAGTAAAGCAAGAGAGAAAGAGTGAGAGAAAGAAAAATACGAAAGATCGAATTAACTGGAAAACGTCGATCCAGCACGAGATCATTAAACGGCGGCAGCTCGTTTGTTGTTTGATGATGCCATTACGGTTTGAAAGTGAAAATCACGGATATTTACTCCTACGTTGAACTTTTAGATAAAGTGCTTTGAAAGTTCGAACGTGATATATCTAAAACGTGAAAAGAGCAGAGAACAGAGAACGGAGAATAGAAAGAGAGAGAGAGAGAGAGAGAGAGAGAGAGAGAGAGAGAGAGAGAGAGAGAGAGAGAGAACATTCAAGAAAGATGTTAAAACGTTGATTACAATAAAATATAACATTTCTATATGAAAATTTTTTTCAATTTTTCTTTTTTTTTTATTTTGATTGAATAAAACAACTTCTTTTTATTTTCGTCAAATCGTCGAGATGGTTCTAAAATAATAATTATCTTTTTAAAAAACAAAAATGTTTTTTCCATTTTTTTCTTTTTTTTCTTTTTTTTCTTTTTTCCATTTTTCTAAGAATAAGCATTACACATAACTCTATTTAGTTTGCCCATTGTTATCGTCCTATTCTTTTTGTCATTCTTTTTATCTTCTTAGTCATTAACACGACTAATATATATATATATATATATATATATATATATACGCATCAACATACACACATACATACTTACATACATAAATACATACATGCATATATACATACATGCATATATACATACATGCATATATACATACATGCATATATACATACATGCATATATACATACATGCATATATACATACATGCATACATACATACATACATATATATATATATATATATATATATATATATATATATATATATATATATGTATTATTGTTTCCTGGTTCGCAATTATTCTTGCGACAAGGTGTATATATCGAATCATTCGTTCGTCTCTCTCTCTCTCTCTCCTCTCTCTCCTCTCTCTCTTTCTCTCTCTCTCTCTCTTTCTGTCTCTTTCTCTGCCTCTGTTGGCAACATGCTTGCACCAAAGATAATGGCATTCTGGGCTCGCCCAGAGATGACACAACGTGCCAGCAATGGCTCTTGGCCACGTGCTTCGAGAGCTATTCTCATTACTGTATAATTCTTTTCTTTTTTTTTTTTTTCTTTTTTTTTTTTTAGCGAGGACAATGATAATTATTTTTTTAAAGCGTTCTTTATCGATTTACAGTTAAAATTTCATTTCATAAATGGAAAACAATTTCCGCGGTTAGAACTTAAAATTATTCGAACGAGGGAAAAAAGAAAATATATTTTTTATTCCTTTTAAATAAAATATAAAAAAGAAATAAATATTTTTAATGGATAACGAACGATTCGGTTAATTCGTGTTAATTCGATTAGATAACAAAAAAAAAAAAAAAAAAAGAGAAAAAAAGAAAAAGAAAAGACAAAAATCACGCGATGATTAGGAATAATCATATTTGCATTGTTGCTATTGAAAAAATAACAAAAAAAAAAAAAAAAAGAAATAAGAAAATTGATAATTTAATTTAATTAATATAACATTGAATTAGAGATGCACAACATACTTACGCAAATTGATCCAGAAATCGATGATAAATTGTATTATTATTATTGATTTCGATAAATGGAAAACTTCTGTCACGCGAAGAATATCTATTTATTTGTTTGAACAAGATTAAATTAACACATATAATTAAATTAAAAGTGTGAACAATTATGAAGATAAGAATTTACTTATATAATTTAAATGACAAAATTTATTCATTCAATTTAATCCGATGGATAAAAAAGTCGGATAATAGTATGTCGCATATATGTATTAGGTTTAAATTAGAGAAATATACATTTTTGAAAGATTGTCTTTTTCGATTCTTTTTTTCTTTCTTTTTATTTTTTTTTTTTTTTAATGACTCTTCTTGCTAAATTGCATACAATGATTATTATTATTATTATTATTATTATTATTATTATTATTATTAATATTATTAATATTTTTCGTTTAAAGAAAGAGACAAAGAGAGAGAGAGAGAGAGAGAGAGAGAGAGAGAGAGAGAGATAATAGAGATGGATCGAATAGAATACCACGTACAGTTATATTCAATGCTTATGGCCAAGGGATCGACGTGGATCTTTTCTTAATGAGCTAAAGGTCACTTCCGGTCATGCAGAAAACGGAAACACAGCGCGTGCTTCTCCATATCCGGTGGTAGCTCGAGCGATAGCTCGTCCCACCTGAGCGCGTAACGCACTGTGCACTAGCCGATGCGTTTCTTAACTGCAGCAAAAAAAATTTAAGTTCTTTTCTTTTCTTTCTCATTTTTTTCTTTCTTGTTTTTTTTTTTTATTTTTCTTTTCTCTCTCTCTCTCTCTCTCTCTGTCTTTTTTTCTTTTTTTAACTTTTCTCTCTTCATTCATTCATGGACATTTCTTTTTCAACGTATCGTTCGATAACATTGATTGTCGAAGATCGATAGATCGGTAATCTAATGCGTTTAACAAATTACCTTAATAATACTAACAAGTTGAAATTATATATATTTATTCTGTGTGTGAGTGTGTGTGTGTGTGTATGTATGTATATGTGAATGTTCGTGTAGAGAAAAATTGCGTCATTATTTTTTTTTTTTTTTTTTTTTCTTTTAACTTATTTCAACGCGTTGTGAATATTAATTATCGCTGATCGATTGATCGCTTATCGGATATTACCGATTATTATTATTAAACTGATTGTTTTGATAATACTAATAAATTAAAATTAATTACTATCTATGCATATTTATTCATTGTTAATTTGTGCTTGTATGTGTGTGTGTATGTGTATGTGTGTGTGTGTGTGTGTATGTGCGTGTGTGCTGCTTTTGATTAGACATAATCGTGACATCTGTAAAGCAACGTAAGCATGCATTTGTATTATTATAAATCAGAGACTGTAGACATGGCACAATGCATCTCTCGCGTGGGAAGAAGTCACGTGGGCGAATTTCTCCAAAGGTCGTGGGTCAAAGACGTTTTTATGTTTTCACTCTATCCATCTAATACCAATCTCTTCGTATCGTCTATACTTAAATAAAATCCAGAAGTATAATTTAAAATCTTATATAATTATCTTCGTGTTATTATTATGTATCTTTGAAAAGCCATCTGTAAAATTAAATGAAAGTATTTTTAAAACGTATTGCCATATAGAAAATGCTTTCCAAAGATAATGAAAGGAAAGGATAAAAGATAAATAAATAAATAAATAAATAAAGAAAGAAAAAAAAAATATATATATATATATGAAAAAAAGGAAAAAAAAAGAAACGATAAAACGATCTCATCAATTTCTATTTTGATGAAGGAATATTAATGATATAAAATGAAGAAAGATAGGGAGGAAGAAGAAAGGAAAAAAAAAGAAAAAAAAAAAAAGAAAAAAAAGAAGAAAAAAGAAAAGAAAAGAAACAAATAACTAGAAAAACTGTCTCATTAATTTCAACGTAGATGAAGAGTTAGTAGAATAAAAAGAAAAAAAAAAGTAATAACAAAGGAAAAAAAAAATCTATTAAATCGTAGATCTCGATTGAACGAAACGAAGGTCCCCTATTTTTCTTCCCCCCTCCGTTTTACCCTTCTTCTACCCCGTACCTCGTCCCTCGTGAGAAAGGAACATATTTTCTAGTAATTATCGTCCGGTGATGATAAAATCTAAATCGTCGAGAGTTCTATCTCTTTTTTTCTTATTCTCTCTCTCTCTCTCTCTCTCTCTCTCTCTTTCTTTCTCGAAAGGAATCATATGGTACGTGTCATACGGTGCTGGACGATCAATTTTCGAATTCATTCGAACGAAGCGCAATGACAAGGCTCACGTTGAATTGAAACGTGCAGGATGATTATTATTTGAATATTATTTGCTATAGTGACTGCCGAGATAACAACGTACGATCGTTCGTTGTTAAAGCCTCGGTCTCCCCCTTTAAATACATATTTGCCCGAGAGAAACGATATGCGGAAATCTATATGTATTTGTAATTAATTTATTGCCTTGGAAAAGACGATGTTGCTACTGCATAAAGTGAAAGCGATTTCACGCCCGGCATAGGTATACGTATTTTGTTAATGGAATAAAATACGTAGCTAGTTGAGTTTCCTTTCCTTTTTTTTTTCTTTTTTTTTTTTTTCTTTTCTCCTTCGTTCCTTCTTTTTTTTTTCTTTCTCTTTTTTCGTTCTTATACCTCTTCAATAATATTATCTTTTTTTTTTCTTTTTTTTTTTTTTTTAGGAACCATAGATACAGCTATATATTATTTACGGACGGACAATTAATTCACATGGGTCGATTAACTGTGTCAATTAAATATAGAATAAATGAAGAAAATTTGAACGATCACGTTACTAAATGAATTTGTTAGACATTAATGTTGTCTGTTTAAAAATATTTAAATTAAAAAAAATGTCTTTCGATCGATTTACTATTTACTCTGGCTATCATGTTATATCTATTATTTATATTTAATTAAAATTATAGATATCACGGGAAATAATTAATCGACGATTTGAAATCGTTAATTTTATGCGCTCTGTTCAACTTTTCCAAGATATAGTTCTTATCTATTCGCTTAACGTTAGGATACTTTGGAACGTTTAATCCATTTTGTAATATTTTCAAATTGGATTTCGAAAATTCCCTTTTCATTTTATAATGATGACAGGTCCTCTCTATTATTAGAACGATAATACCTAATATTGTACCGCCGCTAAGTACGGCCAAAATTGGTGTGACATCCCACAAACTGACAGCATTGTGACTTGTTCTCAATAAACTCGGTTGTACAATGAACAATCCTCTCAAACGATTCATTATACCGTTGTCTATGAATTTTTGCAAGCTGGAGAGAAGAAGAAAGGAAGAAAGAAATCAAAAAAAAAAAGAAAAAAAAAAAGAAAAGAAAAAAAAAGTAAAAAAGGATTATAATACATCATTATCGATAGTAATCGTTAATAAGTGATAAAAGATTTCTCTTATTACCTTTATCTCCGATCACTTACTGATAATTAATTAAACCCTTGAAGGGACTACCCTTTGGCAGGGTCATTGCCAAACTATCCGATCTACCAGTTTCAATGTAATTAATCTTACAAGATAGATAAAGATTTATTGTCTTTTTCATTTCTTCGGTCGTATAAAATGCCACTTTCTCTCGGCATACCTGCGTGAAAAAAGAAAATGAAAAGAAAAAAAAAAGCGAAAGATAAATATTAAATTCCATTTAATAAGAATATCTTCGTAATATCGTACGAACTGTACGAACGTAGTCACGAGCACGTAGTTAATCGATCATAATAGAATAGATAATTTTTGTCTATTGACATTGTTGTCCTTCTATGTAAATATATATATATATATATATATATATATATATATGTATATATACCTGATCAAATCCACTGTACAAACTGGTTGGTAATTGCTTTTTTGGCTTCATTAGTTTCATCATTTTCACAATGACGTCATCCTTCGAATTCTGCAAAATAATCATGGAGTACATTCGAAGTGCGGAGAAGTAATAATCTTCTTTTTTTTTGTTTTGTTTTTAATAAGAAAAAAAAAAAAAAGATCAACCGACGAAACGCAACGGAAGGAAAAAAATCAAAAAAAAAAAAGAAAAAAAAAAGAAAAAGAAGAAAAGAAAAACATTGCGCCTAATCATGAATATTATATGGAATTATAAGAATTACCGCGAACATGTCGTAATCGGCACTGTTGCCGAAAACGATCAAGTGGTATGTGCGAGCGTTGGCGAAATCGTCGAGACTGGAAAAAGGTAAACTCTCTGTGGTCACGGTCAAGAAGCTAATTAACGAAGCCGAATAAGCAGCCGAGATTATTATAGCCGAGACGAAGATGGAGATGAAAGCCAGACGTAAAGATGGTTCAGTTGGAAATTCTGAAAGCGTATAATAATAGATTGTCTTAGAATATTTTTATATTTTTACGGTCTACGTCGTACCTGCTAATCCCTGTTGACAATAAATACCCCATACGTGAATATAATTTTCAGATAAAAGAGATCCAGAGAAGGAACCCTTTGTTTTAATTAAGGTCAATAAAATGGGAGTTGTCGTTATCACTAAGATTAACATCGCCCAGATTCCAAAACTAAAGGTCTAAGAAAAGAAGAAGAAGAAGAAAAGAAAAAAAAAAAAAAAAAAAAAAAGAAAGAAAAAACAAAAATATTTATATACCATAATATTATATGAAAAACATCGATTGATTGGACGAACACAATGATAATAATTATTTGGAAAATTTTTGTATATATAAAATCATTACATAGGGATTATCGTCGTTTAGATTCGAGGATTAAATGTCTAGAGAAAAAAAAGAAAAAAAAAAAAAAGAAAAGATATATTTATATACATGTTATTATGAAAAGCATCAGAACGATAGGATGAACATAAAATCTATGAAAACTATAGTGTGGAAAAAAAAAATATATATATATATATACAGACACATATACACTTATACATATTTAATTAAATAAAAAATATCGAATGATAAGCGAGAAGTATTATTAAATCGGAGATATATATTGGAAAAGAATTTTCAAAGAATAAACCTTAAAATATGCGGACCACTGAATCGAAGCACTGCTCTGTTCTTTCATGTAAAGGCGATTTCGTGAAAGTAAAAATGGCAATGTGAAATCTACGGCCTCAAGTCTCCGAGTTGTAACCGTGAATTCGGCAACACCTATATCGGCTGTCCCGGATGTCAATTGACCTATAACACCGGTCCAGGTTTCATTTTCCTTATTCCAACTACCATAAGCATCGACGGGATCTAATATTTCGGTCGTAAAATTCATCATTTTGCTTAATTCCGTAACTATTTCACCGAGTAACATATTAAGCTTATTATCTTTTGCTCCGATGAAAGAAGAATCCTATAATGAATTAAAATTTTCCTTTCTTTTTTTTTTTTTTTTTTTAATTAATTATTACACAAATAAATTGTTGCAAAATAAATTATAGAATTTATTACGAATACCTTGACCCAACCAACACGTAAAACTGTTCCAAAAAGATCGCTTCTTCGGTTATAAAGGCTCATCTTTGTTATTACGGAAAAATCCTTTCCGGGTTTCCAAATGGCGAAATTCGACGTTATTGTATTGTTATCTTGTATCGAGTACCTTAACGTGCAAACATAACAATTAAATGTGCGAAGAAAATTCGTATTAAAAAAAAAAAAAAAAAAGAAAACAAAAGAAAGGAAAAAAACGAAAGGAGAAAAGATATAAAAAATAAATACAAGAAAAAAAGAAAAAAAAAGAAAGTAACGTGACAATATAAATAAATAAATAAATAAAATGTAATATGTACCATTCCTTTAATATCATTTCGTCGTAGCAAAGTATCAACATCTCGGTATCGAAGTTCAAATTGAAGATATTGCCGATAGGATTTTTGCAAAATTTTTTCAAAGTATTGTTTGTCGTTTCAATGAATAACACGAACCATATGTACAGAGAAACGTCAATTTCTTTGGTTACCCTTGAAAATTCTTCAAGATTTTCCCATGTCGATATAATTATAACGAACAATGGTCTCGATATTTGATAATATTTCATTTTTTTGAGTTCGGAGAAATTAATGCTTATTGAAAAGATTCCTTGACGAGAAATTTCACGCGACCACGCGTGTAACATAGTCGACATCTGCAAGTCTATTGAATTACATTCTTAATCATTAATATATATATATATATATATATATATATATATATATATATATATATATTAATGGTTAATTATTAAATTCAAATATGTATATATATATATATATATTAATCATGCTTACTATCGGTACGACCACTATCCACGAAAAACACAGAGGATGATCCATAAGAGTCGTAAACCTTAGTAATAAGAAGAAGATAATCTTGAGTGGTCACGTTTAAACCAATTACAACGTTATTACCAATAAATATTATAATAACGAATAAAACGATATAAATTCTTGAAGACATCATTAAGTCTCATGATTTAAATTAACTGAACTATCTTATTCCATTTTCTATTTGGATCACATTATTATTCACGTTATAAGTATTTATGATCAAATAATTTTTGAATGAATTATTTAAAAAGTCGATCGAAGGAAGAAGGAGAAGGATATAGAGAAAAGTGGAACGATAAAGTGAGAAACAAAGAAAATAAATAAATAAATAAATTGTACGAAATGAAACGAGTGGAAATTTAGAAAACACAACAACAACAACAACAACAACAACAACAACAACAAAAAAAGGAAAGCAAAGACGAAGATAAGTAGAAAGTTTTCTTCCTTGACAAGGTCCCGGCTTACTACGAACACGTGATTGAATCGACTGAAAGGCGATTGTCGTACTTCCACGCTCGATTTTATCTTCTTACGACTATCTCTACCTCCGAGGTATTACTGAGGGTATTACCACGGTTTTGTTCCTTGATCGTACACCTTCTACATTATGCATTACTATCGTACACGTATATACAATATGTGTGTATATATATATTATATATATATATATAAAATATATATATATATATATATATATATATGTATGTATGTATACGCTTCTATCTCTCTTTTTCTCTTACCGTCCATGTGTATTTGCTTTTGTCGTTGCGTTTCTGTACAAATAACGTAGAGATCAACGGTTGATAAAGCTGCCGACTATCAGGAAAATTACGAGCAAGCTGTGAATTATTTCCAACGTCTGGTGATGGTTAACACTATCACATCGGGAACGTCATTCACATTGTCTCGCTACAATTACGATCGTCGTTAATGTTAACCTGACCGTGGTCGACCGCATAATAAAGACCCGTCGCGTTCGACACATATGGGAGAAAATAGGGGAGGAAAATGGTTGATAGGGAAAAAAAAAAAGAAAGGAAAAAAAAAAGAAGAAAGAAAATGTGGGGGAAAGAAAAAGGAGAGAAAAAATGGAAAAAAGGAAGGAGAGAGATAGAGAGAGAAAATTCTAATCTCTTTTTCTTGATATTCCGTACGAGAGATGAGAGATACGTGAGACTTGTCATATGTTTGGAACTTCTAACATTACCGGGTCTTTCTTTCCTTTTCATTGTAAACACAGGTTGTAAATACAGGATATGTCCTTCGTGTTCTCTTCTCAAAAGTAATTGCTACCTGGATTCTCGTATATCCTATTTAGTGAAGAGGAAGGAACAGAGCAGGGAGGAGGTCTAAGATAAGTAACTTTACAAAATAATTATTAAAATCATCACAGCCTAATGATATTGCTCCTTTATTGAATATATTTCGTATTTATTCGTGTCTGTGTGTGTACGCGTATATGTGTATGCTTATATGTGTATGGACGTAGATAAATTTAAATTTAAATTGAAAATACATATCCAATAGTAGACATTATTATTATTATTATTATTATTATTATTATTATTATTATTATTATTTCCGCAATAGCTTTTTTCTACATCCGTTTTTTATAACCAACAATTTGTCACGTGCAAAATATAATTTTTCTACGATAAACACGCATAGACTTAGAAAAACGCCTATTTCGAGAAACGATAATATCGGTATGATACTCCAAACTTGTACGGCATTTAAGCCTATCTTCTTTTTGCATTTTTTATTATTCGGACTGCTTTGCGATTTCAATTGTGCTATCATACCGTTTCTCATAAATTTGAATAAACTGAAACGTTAAGAAATATTTTTAAAAAATGTTTATAATAATTATTGTCGTCGTACACGTTCCTCTGATATCACGTTACACTCACTGATGATTTATCAGACTGAGAAATTGATTCTTTTTCGACCACATCAGTGATACACTATCTATATGACCAAGATTAATGTGCACGATATTGCAAGGTATTTCAGGATCTAAAACGTTTCTTACTTCGGTCGATACGTACATCGCTATATTATTCTCGTTACAAAGCTGCAAATTATTACACATTATCTATAGTTGTATATATATATATATGTGTGCGTGTATGTGTGTGTGTGTGTGTTTATTTATTTCATATATTACAATGTAACAATTATTGTAATGATTCATATGCCTTTCTTTTTTTTTTCTTTTTATTTCCCCTCCACCCCTTCCCCCGCCCAATCATAATTACCTGAACAAATCCGTCCAGAGGTGTTGCTGGTAAACGTTCTTCCGCAATCATGAAAGACATAACTTTCTTTGCCAATGGTTGCTTGGAATTCTATAAAAATTTCTTTCTAACAATGTCACCTTTTACGAATAAATATATTAAAACAAATTGAAAATAGTATATGTACTATTTAGGTGCTTTTTTATTTTTTACTATTCACTTACCACTTTTTTTTTCTTTTTTGCCTTTTTTCTTTTTCAATCGATAAATATTAAAAAAAAAAAAAAAGAGAGAAATAAAAGAGAAAAGATATGCGTGGAGAATACTTTCTAAATTGTTCTAAAGTGAAATATCCGGGGTGAGATTATAAAAAAAAAAAAAAAAAAAAAAAAAAAAGAAAAAAAGGGAAAAAAAGAAAGAGAGAAAAGAAAGAGAACGTGTAAAACGTTCTTTTTTTTTTTTTTTTTTTTTTTTTTTTTTTTTTTTTTAATAATAATATAAAATAAACACACTGCGTAAGATATTCTCATAAAAAAAAAAAAGAAAAATAACTCACGGCAAATACGTCGTATTCCAAACTGTCCTTGGCCGTTATTAATTTGTATGTACCATCCTGTATAAATTCTTCTAATGAAACGAATGGTAAACGATGTACAGCGTTCGTCAGAAAAGATATCAAAGAGGCCGAATAAGCCGATGAGACGATCAACGCCAAAAGAAATAATGAAATATATGCCAATCTGAGTGACGATCTTTGAGGAAATTCTAAAAAAAAATAATATAATAAAACGGGACAAACAAGAATAAAAAAGGGGGAAAGAAAAGTAAGATAAAAGAAAAATTTTCAAAGCGACAATTAAACATATATACAGATAGGAGAATAGATATGTATTATATAGATATTTTCAAAATGAATTTACCAACGAGTCCCTGTTGACAAAATATTCCCCATATTTGTAAATAAGAATCCGATATCAATGACGCGTAGTTACGTTCATTCGTTGTAATTTTTATGGAGACCAATAAAATTGGCGTCGTGAAGATTAAAACGATTAAAGCTATCCAAAGTTTGTAATTGAATGCCTAAAAAAAGGAAAAGAAAAGAAAAAAAAAAAAAATTAACAAACGAACAAACACGAGTAAATTTAAAATGATAAAGATCGTCATTATTATTATTATTATTATTATTATTATTATTATTATTATTAATTTAAGAATATGATAAATAATGATATAGACTTACGCGAAAATAATTAGACCATTCTATGTTCAAAACATTTGGTTCCTTGATATACAATGAGAAGGATGATAGAATGAACGGTATAGTAAAGTCAACAACGTCGAGTCTTGGACTGCTCATTGAGACATAGGACATAGAAATTTGTGCACGATTTGCTATCAATTCACCGATAGCACCGTTCCATGTGTTATATTTAGCATTCCTTCTACCATTCGATAAGGTATTATTAACAATGGCAAATGAAAAATTTACCAGTCTGCTAAGCTCGATTAATATTTTACCACAGGATCCAGACAAATTACCATCTCCGTCTATATCGATGAAAGGATTGTTCTTTCATAAAACAAAAAAAAAAAAAAAGAAAGACATTCTTCAATTTATAATAATCAATATTATCACTATAACTATATTACGTAATATTTATCATATCATTAAAATAATTAACGTTTAATTTAATAATATAATATTTAATATATTATTAAAATTAATAATATTTGATATAATTACACAATATTTATTTTATTATTTAAACTGATAATATTTAATTATATAATATTGTTATTATATACGTATTTTTATATATATATATATATATGTATGTGTAATTTTTTTTTTTGACGTAATATTTACTTACCAATACAAATATGGCTGGTAAAACTAAACCCTCTAAACTGTTTCTCCTCTCGTATAAACTGAGCTTAGTTAAAAACGTCAATTTTTCATTAGGTTCCCATTTAGCCAATTCAAATACCTTAGTTTGATTCGCCCTCAATGAATACCACTCCCGCATAATTTTATCCTTAGGACAAGATACCAGCATCTCCGTGTTGAAGAGTAGATTGAAGGGATTACCTTTTGGTATTGGACAATAATCGTTCTGATTATATCCAGGCAAAAATATGACGTACCAATAACCAAATGACATGTCAATGTTTCTGGTATTATTTGAAAATGTTTTTATCGATTCCTCGTCAGTAAGAAATACAACGAATAATGGTCGTATTATACGATTCTCGTAATAGCTGGTATCTCGAATATTCGATATTTCTATGCCGATTGACATGAAACCATTACGAGATAACTCGCAAATCCAACGATGAATAACACTGGTAAATTTCATATCTAAAATTAATAATAAAAATAATATTAATTAAATTTATAACGAGGTATCATTTCAAATTACAATTTTATTACATATTATAAAGATTTAATAGACAAAAGTGTACGAATTAATCATAGGCACGAAATGTTTACACAAGTTTTATTATATTCTATTAAGTTCAATTCATCCCCCCCTTTTTTTTTTCTTTTTCTTTTTCTTTTTTTTCCCCCTTTCTTTATAATAATTTAATGATCTGTCGTTTAAATTATCTTTTATGAAATAATTTAATGATCCTTTAACAATCGTCGAGATTCATTCGATTTATAAGATAATCGATTAACGATAATAATACATCTCGTAGATTTTTACTATAGAATAATTTCTAATGGTGTATAGATTAATAAGATTTTCGTTAATAATTTTTTTTTTTTTTTTTTTACATTAGATAAATTCGATCGATAATACGTACCTTTTGACGTACTTGCGTGCAGGAGAAAAACGCTGTAGGTTTTGTAAAATTTGGAGATATCGATTATTTGTGATATATAGTTTATCTTGTTATCGAAACTATTTCCTTTCCTTAGAATAATGATTACGAGCACAACGATAAGAAGATTTCTTAACAATAATGACATTGTCTTCCTTTTCTTTTTTTTTTTTCTTTATTACTATTCGCAAGTAGAAACGTATGGAGGAAAAGAAAAAAAAAAAGAAAATGAAAAAATTTTACAATTTTCACGAAATTTGTTCGATGAATGATATGACGATTGATCGTTGATTAATCCTCGATGATATAATTGAATAAATTGATAGAAATATAATTATAAATATTACTGTGGATATTTGATAAAAGAGTTTTAATTGATCAAACAAAACGTATTCAGGATTGAGCAAGAACGAACAACTGACTAAGTTTCGAACGTCGAGTCTGAGCAATTTTACCTTCAATGCAATATAGTATCCAACTATGCACAGACTCGGAT